CTTTCCTTTTGACAAATTCATTTTTGACAAATTTATTCTTTCCTGCGTGGGGTCACCTCTTATGCTCCACAAAACAAAAATTTTCCTGGCATGTTACCAAGTTTTGCGTGGTTTGACGGCTCTGCATGTTTTCCCATCAAACATATCTGTTTGCCAACATGTGTCTCTGGATAAATACAATGCTTGCACCTGAAAAAGCAGCACTGGCTGATGTGGAATTCAGACCAAACTGAACAAAGGTTGCTAGCAAGGGGAAAGTGCTGCTCCACTGCTAAGTAGATGCATAGAAGTATATTTTAAAATCTAAAACTTGAATGATTTGTTCTTCCTACCTGGAAGCTGATCCTTCTCCCCTGACCTTGATTTCTTACAGCAGTGGTACTTTAAATACTACATAATGGAGAAATAGCTTGGGATATGAGACTTCTGCACATGTCATGTGCAACTCAAATCTCATTCTTGTAGAACAGAATAGCCCCAGAAGTAATTCCTTGTGGATAAAAATTGAGTAAGAGGTATAACTAGTGGTGTTTTTTAACACATGCAGAGTTTGCTCAGGAGGCATATTGATCAAGAGAGCTTTGCAGCTGGAGATGAATTCAGATATCACTTTTACTTCTTCAGAACAATGGGCTTAGAAAATCTCATGGTTTAACTGTCAGTTCTTGGAAACACCTGGTGGCTTACTTACACGGATGGGCTGTAAATCACTTGTGGCATCTTTGCCTTTATCACAGACGTCCCATTAAAAAAATTGTGTACTCCCACACACAGAATGAAAAAAAAAACAGACCAGAAAACCCTACCACATTTTAAGGCTCTTATTCTAGAAAAAATTATTTTTATGTCCGACAAATCATAATTCCAACAGCACAAGACAGGCTGAAAGAAAAATTGCACTTAGCACCTTCATAAAAATATTCAGAATTATAGAATAATTTGGATAAGATGGCACCTTAAAATTCATCTTGTTCCAACCTCCTGCCATGGTCAGGGTCACCTTTTTGCTAGACCACACATCTCAGAGCCCCATCCCACCTGGCCTTGGACACTTCCAGCTTCTGTGGGCAGCCTGTGCCAGGGCCTCACCCCCCTCACAGAGAAGAATTTCCTCCTTATATCTAATCTAAACCTAGTGTTGTAGGAGTGCCTTACCAATTCCCATGTGAATAGCAGCAGAGGGACAGGGATTGTAATTCTGACACGGTGAGGGCTGAGTATTGCCTGCCTTAAGCCTCTGACCAGTTTGATTTATAGGAAAACGGCAAATGTTTCTCTGGTGTTTGTAGGAAATGCATTTGGAGGTGTAGCATTTTAAGATGAGTTCTGCTTAGGCTGATCTGTAAATAGTATTGAAGTGAAAGAGAGAATGTTGCAAATTAAATGTATTTATCATAAAGCTTTGCAGTAATCAACAAAGTAAACAAATTTTCATTTTCTGAGCAAGTGTGGCCAGTATGCATCTACCCATCAAAATGCTGCACATAAAGAAAAGCACACTTCTTTGTCTTCTGGCCTCTTGCTTTCTGACTATATCACTTCTCTCTCTGTCTCTCACTCTGGCAGAAGAAGAAACTCTTCTGCAATGTTTTTTTCATCAGTCTCTTTTGATGATTCATTTCCCTATAATTTAACTCTGCTGGTGCATCAGATGTTGTACTTGATTCAAGTTTTTGGAACATGAATTCTTTTTCTAGTTGCAATGATGGTATCAGGATCAGTTTCTCCTTTGTCATATAATTTCTCTGAAAAGGTCAGCATGACCCTATCTTCAGGGCAGAATTAATAAAATTATAGATATGTTTGTCTAGTTTTAAAATCAAAATCTTGTGTGACAGAAAAAGCATGACCTTAACAATCACCTTGTTGGGATCTGAAAATGGGGGCTTATGTAAGTATGAATAATAAGGTCATTAACTTTGAAAAATTCACATTTAGAAAACCTCTTTCAGGTTACAGACAACTTTTGTATTTGTTTATAATTTTTGGAAAATATTCTCCACTAAATACAGAATGCCTGTGAATTTACTGGTGGCAAAATGAAGGACTGAGTCATGAATGTAAGTCAGCACGGTTGTTCTGGCTGCAAGCCACCTTAGTTTACAAAGTCAAGGAACAGATTTCTGCTTTTAAATTATCTGTAATTTTCCTTTCTTTTCAATACATGATTAAAAAAAAATACAATTGTGTTAAATAGCACATCTTTTGCAACCTGGTTCTGAGAGTGCTTACCTTATTTAGGCATTACTCTTTAAAATTACAAAAAAGCAGGGGAAACTGTCCCTTGGTCTTTTCACATCCACAAACAAGCCTTTCTCCTCAAAAGTATTTTGACAAATAAATATGCTATTTCATATCCTCCAGTATTTACTGTTGAACATTTGCTATGTTGACACAGCAAACAGTGTTCTTTTCAGTGTAGAGAATAATAAGAGAATTGTGTGGCTTAAAGCAAAAGCAAAACACTTGTTGACTTTGTTGGGCACCCTAAGGCCCTTGCTTAATAATCACATTTTTCAGAGGAAGAAGAATTCGCATTTTATAAAAGTTTAATCACAAGTTAATTTAGAAATATGATTTACCACAGCATACATTCACAGAAGTATTTTTGAAATAGTTTGTTATAAAATAAGCACATAGCATATTGTATAGCAATAAGCTGTTTAGCCAGACAGTACCGTTGATAAATGAAATATCCTGATACTATTTCTGAACACTTGAAAAGTATTAAAAAAACTATATAAATCCAATGGTTGTTTATTGTTGACTGTATGGCTTGGAGGCTTACAATTCCAGGTTTATCTCTGGTGAAAAAAGGTTCCTCAAAGGTAACTGAAGATCAGACATAATAATAAATTATATTGTCATTATAAAAATACATTCATTTTCTTACTGTCCTGCAGCCCATTTGTTGCCTGATTCCTGCTCCAACTCAGGCAGGAAAGAGTATTTATTGCAGTGAGGAACTGCAATAATTTATTTACTGCAAAAATAGTTTATTGCAGTGAGGGACTGCAGACTATCAAAGTGATGGGCTGCAGGAGTGCTGATGCATCATGTAGATTTTTCATTTTTTCTTGGGATAGAAAGAGGAAGCAGCACCTGCTAAAGTAGGAACAAGTCCAGAGAACAAGGGAATCAGAGGGATGGAGCACTTTTCCTGTGAGGAAAGGCTGAGAGAATTGGGGTTGCTCAGCCTGGAGAAGGCTTTGGAGTGACCTAAATGCAGCCTTCCAGTATCTGAAGGGAGCCTACAGGAAGGATGGAGAGAGGCTCTTGACAAGGGCCTGGGGTGACAGGACAGGAGGAATGGCTTCACACTGACAGAGAGTGAATTTAGACTGGGTATTAGGAATAAATTCTTTGCTGTGAGGGTGGGCAGGCCCTGGCACAGGGTGCCCAGAGGAGCTCTGGCTGCCCCTGGATCCCTGGAAGTATCCAAGGCCAGGTTGGACAGGGTTTGGAGCAGACTGGGATAGTGGAAGCTGTCCCTGACATTGCAGGGGTGGAACTGGATGATCTTTAAGGTCTCTTCCAATCCAAAGCATTGTATGATTCTATAAAGCCGAATTTATTATCATCAAGGAAGGGCTGAAGCAAGATGTCCTCAATTTTTTGTTTCTCTTAGCTTTTCTTTGTGATCTCTTCTCATGGGCTAAAAAAAGCCCTAAGCCCTCATTTTTAAAGAAGTCCTGTAAAGTTCCTACTAACAACAATCATGTAGAGAGAAATCCATATCGGGGGCAAAATTCAGCTGGACCTGCTGGTGTCTAGGTAGGGTTAGTAAGAGGACAGATGTGTATCTGTGTGGATGTTATCTATGTTGGTTGCTTAACTTAGAACTAGAGAAAACTGGGGAAATAAACCTGACTGTTGTAAAAATGCATTCCCCAGGAATAACAGAAACATAAAGTCAATTAAGTTTGAAAAGACCTTCAAAGCCATTGAGTCCAGCTGTTAACCCAGCACTAAACTGTGTCTTTACATGACACATCTTTTAAACACTTCAAGGATGGTGGCTCAACAACTTCCCTGGGTAGCCTGGTTCCATGCTTCATAACCCTTTTGGTGAAGAAAACTTTCCCAATGCCCAGTCTTAGCCTCCCTTGGGGCAACTTGATGCAATTTCCTTTAGTCCTATCACTTGCTAATGGGGAGAGCTGGTTTGAGGGCTAGCTAATGCTGGTTGTATTACTGCTAGATTTGTTTGGGGATTGTATTAACTCCCTGTAAGGCTGCTCAGTTCCAGAATCTTGTTGTGAATAACATTTTCTTGACTTTTCCAGAAAATTCATTCAGTTAATGAGCTATAAAAATAATTTTAGAGGTGCTCTCAATCCTTGCATGTCTATGAGTGTTGAAATGCACATGTGAGTATGGAAGAAACTATTTATATTCAGAGGTGTCAGCAAGAGCTATCAAAGATATGTTTGTTGCCTGAATGAAAGGTATTTTGTGTGCTTAAAAAAGGAAAGTCGAGTAACTGATATAAAATTAAAATTACACTGCCAGGTGTCACGTATCTCACCTGACATAAAAGGGTTCTGAGTGTTTGATGCAAATTTGTGATCTCAGTAGCACTTCAGGAGATTCTGAGGAGGTTTCTGGCAATAAATGAAGAAACTGCCAGTTTGACTTTTACACAATGAGAGGAAAGCCTGGCCCGTGAAAAAGGCGTTTCCTCCTTGCAATGTGCGTGCCCTTAGGCTGTGGCTTCCTTTGCATGTGCTGAAAAAGCACAAAAGAAATGTACCTCAGGATTGTGACAATGGCACCTTGCTGTCCAGCTTGTGGAGCTTTTGACTAATGCCTAGAGGAGACAGCAGGGTGGATTTATTTCCTTAGGAGTTCTCTGTGCATTCTGCCTTTTGTTGAGCGTGACCACCTCCTTTCAAGGGCAAACAAACTTGGCTGTCTTCCTGACTCCCAGCTGCTTTTATTCTTAAGTTTTCTTTGAAAGGGAGATGAGCAGCTGGAGCACTGAGCTTGGACATTGCTGCTCTGCTGGAGAGAGGGGTCAGGGTGTGGGAGGAGGGAAGAACTCTCTGGGGCTGCAACTCTTCCTCAGTCAGTTCTAAGCCTTCTGTCAGGTGCAGCCTGGAGCAAGGGTGAGTGTGGGTGGCCATCAGTACCCCATGGCTTGCCACTGAGGAGCTGGTGGTGTGGAGGTAGAAGGGGGGAAGGATTCAGTTTTGGTAATGGGGAGGTGAGAAGGGCTCTGGGTTCCCACCAGAAATGACTTTTCCTGCTCTTTGCATGTCACAGGCTCAGAGCAATCATTCCCTGTCCAGTTCAGGCTAAGGCTCATTTGTGGAAATTGATGCTGTTCTGTGCTTCACTAGAAAACTGGTGTTTTTCCTTTCCTTTGAGTTATATTTCAGTTGTGTGTCAATTCAGCTGTGTAATTGTACTCAATGTGCAGCCAGTCTGGCCACGTGTGCTCTCTTTTGATTCCTTGGGCAGTAGCAGCTGCTGGCTGCAGAATGCAAGTGCAGGTGGCCCTGATTTATAGATTTCAGGTGACGTGCTTGTGCTGAGAAGCAGCATTGCAGGACAGTGGCCATGGGTCTCCAGAAGGGTTTGGGGGCAAGAGGCTGCAGGGCCAGTGTAGGAATGTGTTCTCTGTTAATAGAGTAACTGAATTATTCTTTGTCTGCTTAAAAAGACAAAAAAGCCCAAAAGTTTCTCTCCCAATTTAGGACAAAAACACCTCATAGCACCTTTTAGACTTCACCTCAGACCTGAGGCTGTCCAATTAGACAGAGGTCAAGAAGTCCCACCTAGCTAATTCACTAGAAAAAGAAAAGAAAAAAAAAAATGTGGTGTGTTTTAGCAGGAGCAAAAATCTCTTGCCCCTAACTCAGTTTTTCTCTGTAAGAACTTTATTATTTTATCTTTTATTAAATCTTTTTCTGTTTCCAACACTACTTCAAAAACCATCCTACTAATTGTATGCCATTCAGAGTAGCTGGGCTATTTTTGGGTGCGGTAAGTTCTCTGAGCTAATAAGACCTAGCTCAAAAAGAAACTTATCAGACAAGAAGAGCAGGGCTCATACCAGCAGGAGAAGGCTCTCTTATTTATTGCATATTTGGCATAGCATAGACAAGTGCAATGGGAGTGTTCTGCAGCTACAGCCTTTAATGCATTGAAAAGTAAAGGCATTATATAGAAAGTGGGGGGAAACAGGAGAGGTGTAAAGAGGGTGTAAGTGACTGACACAAGCAGATGCCGTAAAAGCTTAGAGAATCATGATGGGTGATCTTGAGCGCTATATCCTTAGAGAAAACATTCCTGCTTTATCCTATGCTTGTGCACTTGGGCTTTGTTGGGACTGGCTTTGTATTCAAACATTGCCTGATAACATGATGTGTGTGACTTTTTGAAAAGTCTGAAGATTTATGTGGATTTCACTATTAAACTTGCTGTTTTGCAAAGAATTCCACTGTGCTCTAACAACCCAAGCTGGTAGTGATAGCAGAACATGTCACCCAAAGAAAATGGCTTTATAGGCATATTCACACCACCATTGTAACTTTTATCTCTACATTCTTGCCTGGTTACAGCTACAGTGAAATAGTTAACAGTGTTTATTTATGAGCAGTGTTTAATAGCTTTGAGAGTGAAACGCCATGGAAAACGATGGGGCAGGTACACAATTTTTTTAGGTCTTTAGCTTATCTTTTTCAGTTTGAAACACCAGACATTTTTCAAACAGATGTTTCAGAGAGAGATTGTGAGGTACAGAGTGGCACCCAGCATGTAAAGTACCAAGATCACAGTCTGTGGCAACTCATTTGATGGATATTTTGATTCGAGTGATCAGATATTATCCAATCTTTAAGGGGGAAAAAGAGATTTTATGGGATATGGAAGACACAAGAAAAGCTGATACCACAGAGATTTATGCTAGTTCTCTAGTTCTTTCATTCTGTAGAACTACAACCCAACAAACTCGAGTCTTACTTAGTGAGTGAACATGCACTGGATGCAGATATCTGGATTGAAACACATTGTTCAGATCAGTTTTGATTAGAACTGCAGTTCATGTTATTAGAACGTGATGGATGTATTTGTATGAGGAGGAAGTTCACAGTTATGTTCAGTTTTCTCCTCTCAGCAATTTATAACCTGAGCATTACTCACCTACCCAATCTCCAGTCCCTTTCAGGATGTATAAATATAGTGTAATCTACAAGCAGTAAAATTTATGGTCATTGGTTGATGTCGCTCATGTCTCTTTCTTGTCATGATGAATAGAGGGTAAAGAAAGCAATTTCTTAAAATATGCACAGTCTTGATTCTTTCTGTAAATATTTAGCAGCAGTAGGCTAAATCCTGCAGCCTTTACTCAAACTTGTTACCCAATATGATGATTAAGTGAAGAAAATGAGATTTTCACCTCTAGAATGAAACTAGTTCCTGTGTAGAAAACCTGTCCAAAGCATATGCTCTTCTTTGAGTCCTGGGAGTCAGACAGGAGTGTTATTTCTGGCCTGGTGAATCTCTGAGATGCATTTTGGTCTCAAAATTGCAAAAGTTAGCTCTACCACCTATGGACATCCCTTTACCTTAGCTGTTCTGTTTTCACTCACATCTCTGGCATATTTTCCAGGCTGCTAATTAGGTGCCTCTTGAGTTGAATCATGTCATCCTCCATTTTTTCCTCCTTTACCTGCAAAGCCAGTGATCACAATATTAATAAAAAATTATGTTTCTTACCTCACTCTTCTCCATCTCCCAAAGCAGGTAATAACATGTGTCCTGATTTAAAACTCTTTTGATTTTTTTTTTTTTGCACTCATCACAGAGAAGTTAAACAAAAAAAATATTGTCAGAAAGATAAAAAATAAATTTTAATATTAGTTTTGGCAGGGCTATTATAAATAATAAAATGTTGGGTTAGTCAGCTGAGGCCCAGCAGAAACTGGGAGCTTCAGTGGGTTTTCCCACAAATGAAATGCAAGGAGGGAATTCCTATTTACCTGAAGAATTTTATGCTGTGCTGTTTACCCACGTGCATGCACACATTTATACACAGAGTGTGAAGGAAATGGCCCGAGTGCCAAGGCTGTTTTGCTGCTGCTGTGCTGCAGAACTCTCACAAATGTCAGATTTGCTTTTATTAGTGATGCAAGTGATATGAAATAACTCTGTTCTGGGGTTTTAAATTGGCTCAAGTTATTTCTTGGTTTACAAGTATTTCTTATTCTAGGCAGGTTTTGTAGAAAGAAGCGTTTGGAAAATGCTCTGGGGCTTGTGGTGGGATTCTTGGAGCTGCCCTGATCAGGTCCAGAAGCTGGACCTCAGTGATCCTTGCAGGGCCCTTCCAACTCAGGATAGCCCATGATTCTGTGATTTGTACTGCATGGCTTGACAGTGATCTTAACATAATCATTACTTTTCTGAGAAATCACAACAGAAATATGTGCCCTCCAGTTTGTTCAAGGAATTAGGAAATACCTGCCTGAACATGAGATAGAATGCTTTTGAAGAAGAGTACAGATTCCTTAAGGTTGAAAACTCTGATACAGGTCTGAAAGTCTCTGTGACTTTTGGCCGCGACATTTATTTTTTTAGCAATGAAAATGTATTCACCCTCTTCTTCAAAATTTTGGTTTTGGCCTCAGTGTTGGAAAACTCTTTTGTGCCATGTTGCCTTATGTGGTCACAGATGAATCTGTGTTGTTTGTGCACAGCTGCTTGAGTTGTACATTTAAGTCAGGCTGTTTTTGTGACTGAGACTCTGTATGAAGCTGTGTCTGTGTGTGGATTTGGAAAACATTCTGCTATCTTTTCCCCAGCTGCTTTTACTCTCTGTGCTCTGCTGTTTCCAAAGCAATGTTTAGTTCACTGATTCTCTCCTCCCTTCAAACTTTCCCAAAACAAGAAGGATAGAGGAAAGAACAGAGGAAAAGCCAGGCTGGAAATTAATAATGCCTTAAAAAAGAGGAGATTTGCCTGTTATAGGACCAACAGACCAAGCAGCACTTCCTAGAGGCAGCCTGTAACCTCCAGATGTGTGGAGGAAGGCATTTGAAGTTCAAGTTCTACTGTGTTGTGCTCTGCAGTGAGAGGGGAAACCCTCCTGGTGGGAGAGATCCTTCTGGAAAAGCTGTTGGGAAGTTCTGTAGCACAGCCCCTAGTTAGGGTGATCTGTGGGCTTGTCTTTGCTGAGGATTCCAGGGTAGAAAAGGATGATGATGAAATTAGGGATGTGCCAGAAGATAACAGGGAGGGCTCCTGTTCTTAGGTCAGCATCCCATAAGCGACAGGAAAGTCCAGTAAAATATTGTGTTTGCTGGACTGAGGCCTGAACTCATGCATACCCTTCTGGGGACACAGTGATGTCCTTTTTGTTCTGAAAAAGCCCTTTCTTAGCTGTCTTCCAGAGTACAGCTGCCTTTCAGACATGGAGGCTGCTCCAGCTCAAGGTGATCCACGGGAAGCTGTGCAAGGAGAGGGTTAGGCTGGATATCAAGAGGTTTTTCATCCAGAGGATGGCTGGGCACTGAACAGGCTCCCCAGGGCCATGGTGACAGCCCCAAGCCTGCCAGGGCTCAAGGAGCACTTGGACAATGCTTTCAAGCACAGGGTGGGGTTCTTGTTCTCTGCACAGCCAGGAGCAGGACTTTGGTGATTCTCATGGGACCCCGCCAGCTCAGGATGTTCTATGATTCTTTGATGCTTAGGGTGTAGCTGATAGAAATCATCCTGCAGAGTCATTCATTCATCTCCACTGCTAATTGTTTAATGAAAAAAATGGGGGAAAAGTTGGGGTATAAATGAGTTCTGTTCACAGCTGTGAGTGGTCATTCACAGAAGTTATATTTGCTAAGATGTGGAGTGAAGAGGAATAATACTAGGGTGAAGCAGAGATTTATTCTGCAGCCATTCAACTCCAGATAACATTTTTTAATCTGTTCTGTTCTATGTTAGGCTCAGTCAGGGTGTTTGTGTTTACAGAACTGGCACTGAATTGCTCAAAAACCACTTGTGGGTTGTGCCAGTTAGGGACTTGCTGGATTAAGAGCTGATGATAGTCCTTTCCAACCTGAATGTTTCTGTGGTCATCCTGAAATCAGAAGCAGTACTTGGAGTCAGTGAGGTAATCTTTTCTCTGAAGGTCTTCTTGACCATCCCCTGCTGCCTCAGGCTGCTTCAGATTTGTATTTTCTCTGAGACAAAGAATATTCTGTCCCACAATCTTGGTTTTTCCTCTCTCCTTCCTTGTACCATAGCAAGCAGACAATTTAGAAATAATAATTAAAAAAAAAAAAAAAGCTGCCAGTGGCTCTCTGATCATGGACAAAATATTCATGTATTTTGCAACCTTAACATTATTTATCCCCTCCTCCTTTTTTATTACCCCTTTCTTCTTTCTGTAAAATAAACAAATAGACAAATTACAAAAAATCCTTTTCTCTGTTATATGGCTGGTTTAACATGCAGCACAGTATTTAAGATGAAGGATGTTTAAAAATGCCCCATATTCTGAGAGTTAAGCAGCTCAGCTTCGTCAGTGCTGGACTGACAATCAAACATAGGCTGCTGAAATTTTAACACAATTCCCCCAGTGGAAGCAAGTCCCACTTTGACTCCTTCCAAAGGGGCTGCTTAATGATTAAGGGCTGATTCTGTTTGAAAAAACTGATCTGCCTCTCTTGAGAGTGTAAATAATAATAAGCACATTCTGGGTTTAAGCTATTTTAATCCTGTTGAGGAGCACTTCATTTAAAATTGATTCTAACTATTTAAATTCACTTGTGTAACCATTTATTTATTGCAACACCAATTATTTTGATACATCCCAGTATATTAATCCCTTTTGAAAAGCAAAATAATAAATGTCACTAGCTGTTCTGCAGCACATCTCAGGCTACCTGTGCTATTATTATTTACATTAAGGATACTGTAAAAGAGCCTATAAGAAACAGTTTCACTTTCTCTAATGCAGGATCAAAAAGAGTCTTTTAAAGTGGAGAGGAAAAAAGTATTACAGTAGGGGCAGATCTAAGATTCTTAATTTGAATAATTAAACCTCTTTTGTAATTTTAAAAGCATTTCTAGGAAATTGTGAGTTTATGGCATGATTGTTACTCGTCAGCCCTATTGTTAGGATTAAAATGCATTTGAATTTGTTCTTTTTATTCAGATGTTTTAGCATTCAAGGAGACAATTTTTTGCACAATTGAACAGCAATTTTAACTATTGTTTTATCATCACTATCTTGTTCTTTAGTGAGCTTTTGATGACATGACTTTTAGCATTCATGATTCCTAGTTTGAGACTTTTTTTGTTATAATTTTGATCTTAAGGTAGGTTTTTAGTTAGAGAGAAAATTCTTAACTGAATCTAAAGGATAAATAGTTTTCATAGCAATTGTAGCTGGAAACCAATTTGTCTAATTTCAGGGAAACTAGAGAATCCAGATTTGTGTTCCTAAACTAAAGCTTAGTTTAAATGGTGGATTTCAGGTTTTGGAGCCTTACACAGCTCCACAAAAATACTTTGTTTTTCAGTGTGGGATTTTTTCTGAGTGTGGGAAAACAAAGATTACAGGAAAACAGAGTAGGATGATTGGGACAGAAGCTGTCACTTCCCATAGAAGGATTCAGTTTCATGTGACTTCAGCCATTATTCTGTGTAGAGCAGGGAGATGTGTCATTCCTAAGCACAGCTTTTTGCTTGTTGCACTGCAGAAAGAATGCAGAGCTGTCCCTTTTCTGTGTGAGAACCATCTCAGACAACAAAATTACCCAGCCCTGTCACTGGGAACTAGGAGTCCACCGCGCCTGTCAAACTGTGTTTGGAAATTAACTCCTTGGCTCAAAGCAAGCATAAATCTAGAGGTTTAAGATGACAGCTGCTGCAGATATTCAGTAGTGCATTACAGGAAAAGGATTTTATCCAGGGTATCAATATATTACCGTTCAAATAGTGAAAGCCATTCAGTAAAATCCAGACTTTCTAATAACTAATCCCATTAAATTAAAGCTTCCCAATAAATGGAAGATTTGTCAGCCTAGTGTTTAAAACTCTCATCAAGAGACATATTTATTTGAAAAATAGCTAATTTCTTTAATAGAAATTGAAACTATTAATTCCAAATTTGCTGTTTGGTAAAATACATTTTATGTTTCATTAATATTGTGTGCTTTCTTAGTTTTAGCCCAAGCTTTTACAAGTGAAATCAATTTCTTTCCTCAACTCTATTCATCATGAAAAAATATAAATCCTGTCTTTTATGAAGCTGTCATAGTTCCTAAGAAATATTAGACCCTAGGGCCCACTACTCCATTTAAAACATTCTTCATGTTCCTACAATCTTTTTTTTTAACAATCTTTTGGCTTGTTTGATGACTTTTACTCTTCCCCTTCTCATTCAGTGAAATTCAATATTATGTCTTTATTCTGTTTTTTTAAAACACAACTTCATAGAACATGCTAAAAAGAAGAGGTTTAGTATTTTTAAAAAATTAATATAGCCATATTTATCACATTGTCTGTATTCTTAATTTTCCTCTCTTGTATTTTTTGTTTGCTTGCATGTTCTCTGAAAGATGTATGGAGTCCAGATGAATTGAAAAAGAACCCAAGCTATGTAAGGCTGGATTCTCAAGTAATATTTACATCCCTGAATAAGCTGAGAAATACATCCTGGGATTTAAAAACTGCAGAAGAACTTTTTTCTTAAATATTCTGAAAATTCTGGTTATGCTGTTTGTAGAGCTGATGAAGTAGTGCTTAAATGTTTATTATTCATTAATTAATTATTAAATAATTTTTTTTTCCCTTTTCAATCCATTTTTTCCCTGGCTCATTTGCTCAGGTTTGTGCCTATATCCAGGCATACTGTGGCTAGATCCTTCTTCTCTGATAGGCCCAAGTGCAGCAAGAGCAGGAGGAAGAGGAGCAGAGCTATGTTCCCAAGGGAATTTGGGGGAGGGAAAACAAGTCTCAATGAAGGAAGTTTCTCAAGATGCTCTGGCTGATGAATTAAGTAAGGTAGCTCAGAGTAAAAGGTGATTTGATGTAGAGTCTGAGGTGTTGGTGGTGTGGGGTTTTTTACCAAATTTTCCCCTTTAATTTTAGTTTGAACAGTTGATACCAAATGCAGATGAGATTGCTGTCACCTAACTCTAGTTATCTGAAAGTTAAGTGCTCGTTTTCAGCTAATTGTCTAGACACTCTGTATCATCAATGAAGAAATAGAGGCACTTCAGCAGTGATTAATCCCGTCCTAAAATAGATGTCTAAGCTGGGGTGAATTGGAAGAAGCTGTCTTCCTCCACCAAACAGCAGGAGAGCACTGACAGCTGGTTAGACACAGAGGAGCTGAAGACAGGTGAGATGGTCCCCCTCTTCTCTCTCTCTGTGGTTTCACTGAATTTAGGATAGCAGTTCCATCTTTCAGTGTTTGTGAAATAGTTTGACCACGTGAAACAGATGCTGGTATCAAATCCACCAGATTCAGGTGTGTAGAAGGCAGAAATTAATGTTCCCAGTTGCACTGGTTGTGTGCAGGGGCAGCCTGTGCTTTGCTGGGTTTGCCAAAAGGCAGCTGAAAACACAAAAACTGGTGCATAAAGCCTTGCTCATATTCCAAGTTTGGATCAGCAAGGAATCAGCATCCACCCACAGAGAAAGCTCCACTTGGTTGCTCCTCTGTGCAGAGTGGCACAGTGACACTTCACAACTTTCCTCTCACTTTGTTTTCTGAAACATAAATATTCTATCTGAAACACAAATTAAGCACACAGTGTGTGTGCAACATAACTCAAAAGTAACTGGGATGGAAAGCATTTCAAGCTGGAAGAAATATTAGACAAGTTTAATACCATACAAATGGTTTTCTCAATAAAATTCAGAATTTATATCATTAATTAGAACATTAATGAAGGTTGAAACTTTTCTCAATAAAGAGAGTAATTAGTAACACTTTTGCAGTAAGAATCCTGTGCAGTAATTTTTATTCCCGTGTGTTTTTTCGTGTAATGAAGTGAATATGCCATTTACCATTAAATTTAGCAAAAATGCTTCTATTTGGAGGTATATTCTATAACAGAAACAAACCAACTGAAAGCAGTTATTAAACTTTCATTTGCCTCTCCAGAACTAAGGTTATACTGAATGTTTTTCATAATTGGACAATAATGGTTTTTCAGATTACAGTGAGCCCTTCACTGAGAAAGTGTGGGCAAACCAGCCATTTCTGTGATATAGGATGATACCTCTAGGAAAATTTGCTTAACAATTTAACGGATTTTAAGGGTTTTTAAGCCTGCACTGATCCTGAGCTGAGATAGGAGAAAATAACACTGTCAGATTCTCATTAAGGTCTGCCCATCTGTGAAATATTTTACCTGCATTTTGATAGCAATGTAAGTATGCCAGTGGAAAAAATGTCTGAGTTTCTATGAAGCATTTTGGTTCTTGAACTACTCATTGTTTTTTTCTTTTCCCTTTGTTACTTTAGTTCAAGGAAAAGAATACCCAAGGACGAGAGTTTCTGCTAAATTGTTATCAGACATTTGTCTTATTCCTATTTAAAAGCACTTATTATGCTTACATTTTTCCGATGCCATCTTTACATAAGAACTGCAAATTCTTAAAGTAGGCACAGAAGTCTGTGCTGTAGGACCAGGTTTTCTCACTTGCTGTATGTTATAGTGGAAACAGGCCAGTCAGTAAACTGCATAATTCTATGATCATGGTGCACAATGCCGCATCTTTTCTCATCTAGCTGTTCCTGCAGCTGTACAAAACAAGATGCTGTTGATGTATCAAAACCAGAAGATTCTTGTTTTACTTTCATTAGAACATAACTTCTGCTAGCATTCTGATACTTGTTGTTCTTTAATTAAGGTGATTTCTTTCTCTTACCAAACTGTGACTATAAAGACATACACATCATGGGTTATTTTTTCATCCTTTTAATAATAATAATGATGATTTAAAAAACCCTTGTTGCAATTACTTTTCCATTTATTATCATGGTGGATTTTTACAAAGGAATTTACCAAGCAGATTTCTGGAGCTCTTAGTGGAGTTGAAAGAGTAGCCTATGCATGTCCTTGTACATGCACAGTGGAATGGTGAACATAAATCACATACCCACACACACACACACACACACAGAGAACAAGGCACTGCTAAGACTGTACAAGTAATAAACGACCAGGAGGTTGTTGATACATTAAAAACTGAGCTTCTCAAGAGCCACCTCAATGCCCTAGAGCCGTGCACGGTTTTGGGGCTGTGTGCTTGGCAGCCCTGCTGTGTCCCTCTTGCCATAGGTGTTGGAGCCCACGTTGGTGGGTGGGTAAAGGGCCCCCAGGCTGCTGCTGGAGCGCACCAGGAAGTCGGCCAGGCGCTGTGTCACACACGTGGCTGTGTTGCATTTCCTTTTCTCCAGCTGGTGGCTGCCAAGGTGAAGCAGAGAGAGCCAAGGTTAAGCCAAGCGATGAGCAATCGAGTGTGGCACTTCTCATCGACATTTGAGCTCTGCTGATGTGGGAGTTCTTTTAATGTGTGCACAAATACGGGAACGTTAGAATCCTCCCACCACCTACTTTGTGCCTGAAAAAAATCCTCGGGCTGGGTGCTATTATCAGTTTTAGTGATGGGGGTTATTCAAATGCAGAGACCTGAACAGTCATATGTCGTTTTTATTGATATACTGCACAGCAGTTTATGACACCCAGAAAACCTGTAATGATAGTATAAGTAAGACACTAAGTGAAAGCAATGACTAAATGTTTAACTTTCAGCCGAACTTCTAAATCTATTTAGAGCTCTTGCTGATATCATGAGGATTACTAACATAGTGATGATCACTAACATTTATTTAGTTCTTGTGTTTCTACAGAATTGTATCCTGCCCTCACTGAAGTGACTGGTAATATTCCAGGCCCAAACTGGGCTAAACCCAAAGGTACTCTCCCATCTGCACCACATCCCGTGAGAGGTAGCAGGCATTGCCAGCTTCTGCCAACCTCAGTACCACTTAGGATGGTTTTAGCTCTGGCTCTCTACCACTTAGCTCTGGCTGAACTGCCACATCTTTTTTGGAACACCAGCAACTTGGAAGTTCTGTTGTGGTGAGAGAGAATCCTTTGCTGAATGATACTTTAAAAAGAGTGTCCAAGGAGGAATCTGTATCTAAAAGTAACATTTTATGATCTGAACCAACAGACTACTTGCAGAACTCAATGTAAAGTTTATGTAGCATGAGAGTTTTTTCTTTTTAATCATAATAAAATTGTTAGTTCGAGAGAGCTTGGGTTTTCAAATTTGTTCCTTAGACTGCTGTGTTGTCCCTTCAGACAGAAATACTTGCTTGCTGAGATTGCCTACTGAGTTGTTGCTTATTTTCTTGGACTTCTTCATGCTGATATGGCATGAGTTAGACACCATTTTGTGGCTAAAATTTACTGTGAAGAGCAACAATATCCCAGTTTCAAACTCTGAGCAGTTATAAATATGTTCCTTTGCTTACTGATTATTAAATCTATCATCTAAAATATCATATAACCTTTTGAAGTTATTTGTGTTGATCCGAGAATCCAGGTGGAATAGCAGCTGTGAAAGGAATGTCTGTAATATCTGTATTATATTGGCTCTCCACTAGTAGATATGCAGCAATTTTTAAGCAATTAATATTTTAAATGTGTAATTGCATTAAAAGAAAATTGTTGGACATGGCTTTACATAACCTCTCATTGACTTTCATGACTTTTCATACTTTCATGACTATTGGGTTTAATCAAGCCTTTAACATACAAGGTTCAAAGAGCTGCTGGCTCTCACAGAGATTCTGCTTTGTTTGTGGAGATAGAATTCTCTCTTCCATTAAAGCTACAAAATCAAGTTGAAAACTCCAGCCCTTACAGGAAGCTGCTGGGTTTCTATCTCATGTCCAGCTTGGCTGAACCCACCACGCCTTTTAGCTTTAAATGAAATTTTGAAGTCAGGAGTCAATTCACCCAGTGAGACATGGTTCTAGGCCCCAGAAAAGCAGATAAGGCATACCACACTCATCAAGATGATGCCTTGTGTTTGAATATTAAGGTTATTTTGTGTGTGTGTGTGTGTGGGGGTTGTATTTTTTTTTTTAAGTGATAGCTGTAAAAATGTTAGAACTTTACCTCTTATAAAAATACTTTGGAAGGTACAAAAATTGTTATGTAATAGTATTTTTAAAATATATATTCAAAGAGAGTAACAGGCAACTATATATACATATGTATTTACTGAATTCATCTGTAACAAATTGTCATTGAAAGAAATTAATTCAAATGCCTGACAAAACTAGATGAACTTGAAGGTCTCTTCCAACCCTGATGATTCTGTGAAAAATAGAATTGTTTAGTGCTGCTTATTTTTTTAGTATAAATTGCAAATAAATCTTGAAATGTTTTATATTATTTAAAAAGTTGCCTGGAATTGAATTTATAAATTTATAAATGAGAACGTGTTTCAGACAAGTGAAAACTCTATCAGAACCAATTTCTTCCTTTATTTCTTCCTGTGATTAAACTAATATTTAATTCTGTGATTAAAAATATTGCTTAATTACTGACTAAAAGCATTTATACTATAAAATAATTCCATTCTAGCAGAGAATGCTAGTATTATTAAGAAGAGAATGTTTTTGGGTTTTTTCTTTTTCAGGCTTGGAAATCTGACAAATTTTTAAAAAAGGTAGGCAGTTAGAAAACACACCTTTCTTCTCAAGGTAATGTACTATTTACAGCCTCTTTAATTTATTAAAGCGTTATAATTGTATTTACAACTTTGTCCCTGGATTTCACTTTCTACCCTGAATGCTTTGATCTTTATGTTACAGAAGAGCTGATCTTTATGTTTACCGTATTTAGTAGAAGGATATTTTAATCTCTTTTTTTTGAGAAAAACAGCTGAAGTCTCTCAAGTAGCAGGATATCACTGGACCAAAGTTTGCTTCATGGCTCAATCTGCTATGGCTGGAAGAAACAAGGAAAATCAATACCTTTTTGTCTTTGCTGCTGGGTGTTCTGGCATTTCCTCTCTAAGTGCTGAAAGTGAATTCTGTGACATTACAGGCAACATCCATCCTTGTCTCTTGGAAGTACCATCAGATAGATCATCAGCCACAGACAGTAATCTTTGAATAACAATAAAACAGTGAACTTGAATAACTCTATTTTTATAATATTTGAAACAGGAAAAGCAAAAGCAACTCATGCAATAATCTGAATACCTTTTTCCCTAAAGAGAAATAAACATGATTATTTGTTACTTACCTCTCAATAGGTGTAGCTTCCAAACAGCTCAGAGTGACAGAAAGTGCAATGAAGAAAACGGACAGCCTTACGTTGCACATCTTTCCTTCCAAACTTTCTGAAAAGAACAATTATTCAAAACTGAAAGCTAACCCAAGTACTCTTCAGCACATCCTGTTATTGGTGCCCATTCTGTCCTAAATCAAGAGCAGCTAGTCTTTTTCACAAGCTGGAATGAGAAAAAATGATCCCCTCAAGTTTAGTGACACAACTCAGTTTCAGAAATACAGCTCTCAGGAATAAATGCTCATTTTCCATCCAGTAGTTTCAATCCTATCCCTTACCTCAGGTTTGCATTTCCTGACACATCCCAGTCTCAAATTCCGGTCCCCAGTGCAGTTTACTTTAAAGTTGTCTATGTTTTTCCCTGAAAAATGCTTGTGATTAATAATATTGTGCTTTTTAAAGCACATCTGTTGTACTGCAGGTAAAGGAAGATAAAAGGGAAATTATTTACCTTGTGGCCACGGATCTAACTGGAGAAGCCAGCAAGCCCTCTTGGTTAGCAAGAAGTGTGCATGCAGCAATTCCACGTTTGCATCTAGCTCTGGAGTATCCTTTTCACTCTTCCTTTCTGGCTCTTATATATCCTTGACACCTTTCTCAGTTCTGACATCAGGCAGCACAGAGAGACTGTCGTTAGTTCCAGTCCCTATAGACAGAAAGTGCCCCAGAGAGGAGCAGAGGCAGGTGGGTCATTATTGCACTAGAGCATCAGGAAATATTCACCTGGTGTGTGCAGAATGCCCTGCTGAAGGTGCTGCAATAGCATCCTGCGCATCAGAAATGTAGCCTCAATTTTGCAGCTCTGATGAGCTGCTGAGGTAATATTCCCTGTGGGTGTTTTTGAGGGCTAAATAAGGTAACAAAAGTTACAGAGCAAATGAAACTCCCAGCCACTGGTAATTGAAATACAGGAAAACATATCTCAGGAAAGATGGAAGAGTTAAAATTGTGGAGGTTTGCTGCAGAGTATAGATCAGGAAGAAAAGGTGTCTGAAGGGAGAAAAGCTGTATGACAAATAAGAAAAGAGTGAAAGTTGTTTAAATTGACAGCTAGAGTTCTCATTCAGGGTAACATGGTAGAAATCATGTACATTTTTCAGTCAAGTCTAAATGTGAATGAAAATTCTGTCACTATGAATGTAAAATCTCATGTTTTACTAGCACAGGTGGATTCTTTGTCATGCGTGAAAAATTGAGTCAATTAATACTTTTCAGAAGACAAAGACTAGGATTAAAAAGCCAGGAAATGTCAGATTAGTTTTATTCTGACCTGTGCAAATTTATTTGTCTAGTATGCATTGAGTACGGCTCAGGGAAAAATGTACAGCTTTTAATAGACTAAATCCAGTCTTAATGGATTACCTAATTGTAGATTTCCAAGGATACAGATTAGAACCATTTATCTCTGATTTCAGTGGAAATTAGGCAAATCAGATTTTTTCCCCCTCTCTCTCCTTAATTTCTGCTAGGTACCCCCGGGCCTTTGGAAAACAGGTATTTTAATTCTTTAGAAAGGTCAAGATTCTGTCACAAAAGCTGAGCAAAAGTTCTCTGTGATAAGAAGTTACCACATGCTCCTTTTCTACCCCTAAGAACACGAATTAGTTCAGAACTGCTTCAGTGGCAAGTGCATTGCCTGAACTGGAATGCCCCTTCTTTGTTGGTTTAGACTGTAGTAGCAGATTTTCCTTGCAATGGCTCAAATTCCAATGCTGGCTCACTTCAGGCTACTCGAGGTGAGTACAGAAGGAATATCTAGCTGGGATAGTAGCTTTCTAACTTGTTTACAGCAGTCTGCAAATGAGACTCTAGAAAGTGACAAAATATTTTGTTAATTATTGTAGGTGTTGCCTTGGAGTGGTTTTTATTTTGTGTGTGTGTGTGTGTGTGTGTGTGTGTGTGTGTGTGTGTGTGTGTGTGTGTATGTTGTGGTTATTTTTTTGTTTAAAGGGAGCTACTGCTGGATATTTTTCTCTCTGTTTTTATATGATCATACACTTCTTTTCACCAGGTTCCTGTTATTCCCTCTCTGGATGGACAGTCCCGGTGTAAGAGAAGTAAGTGCAGTAGTTTATCTTCACCATGACAGTAAATTCCGTGCAACATCTGAAGCAAGTTTATCTCTCCAAAGACTCACTGTAGAATTTGACTATGATGAAATAACATTCTGGTGTTAATTTCACAGTGGCAATTTCGATCCTCTGAAATGAAGGCATGATTCAACCCATTTTACAGAGATTGTTATTATGTTGAAAAATAATTATACAGATACTCTGCCTGCCGATTAACATCAGCCAATCTTCACTGCTTGGATATTGAACTTGAAAATGCCTTACTGTGCTTTTTCCTGGGTGGAAAGAGATCTGTGTGCCACTGACTCTCAGCAGTGGTCTTTATGCTTAGCCCATGTCAGAGGTGTTGTTTCAAATCCTGGAAAACAATGGATAGATAAGTTTGTGTTTAAGACTTTAAAATACTTCACTCACTACTCAATCTCTTCTGTTTTAAGGTGACTGAGTGGTTTCTGTATCAAACTTGAATCAAGCTATGGCTTGAAAGAAATAAAATGAAATACCGATTTTCAAATAAATATTGATCCCAAATTCTAATTGCATCTGTCCTGCAAAGTAGATAGGGTGGGGGGAGCCCCTAATGCCTTGAGAGAAGAAGAGAAAGACTCCTTCTTGAGTGCATTGTGGAAATGAAAGTAGGCTCATGATGTCCCAGGAACATTGCCAGCCTCCTGGGCTGCACAGCATCTTGGCAGGATCAGCAAGAAGTCTATCCAGCAGTAAGTCACATGTAAAGTTAACAAAAGTAAGGTTTTGCAGCTCCTGCTGCAAGTTCTCTTAAGCAGGAGTAGTGTTTTCCTACACAAACAGGAATGGAATATTAAATTGTGGAACCTCTTTGACAGCAGAACACTTCATAACTCGAATTTCAAGATGGTGGCACTAAATACTTTACAGTCAGTGCTATTCAATGAGTGGTTGGAAAGCTATTTTTACCACTGACAACATTCCTCAACCTTAATCTTAGAAAAAAGCCTTTATTCCTTTGCATGACAACATATAGTTGCTGACAACATAGAGTTCTCTAATATGTGTTGTTGTCAGCCTAAGGAAAAAGAAAATTATGTGTTCTCATTAAAGGAATTTCTGATCACTTCTATTCTTAGTAGTAATGGTAATTTTAGGTATTTATATTGGTGTTTAAGTCTTTATGCAAAGATTTGTCTAAAGAGCTGTGCCCGCAAGAGGTTTAGCCGACACCAGAGCTGAGGTTCAAAAACAATCCAGAAGATGTGTTTTGCCAGTTCCCTGATTCCTTCTTGGAAGCTGCCTAAATGTCTGGAACTGCAGAATGCTGCCCATGCTCTGCACCTGCGTGCCCTGGCAGCACAGGGACAGGGAGCTGCCTTGGCTCAAGTGTCTGCTGCTTTCGTGTCCTGGGGAGAGGGACTTGGTGTCATTAAATGTCAGGTGAATAAAGACACCATCCTAGTGCCTGTTTCTAATGCAGGAGTCTAAACCAGCTTAGATGAGCTGTGCCTGTTTCTCTTTCTTGTCTACAAAAGCAGCCTTGGGTGACTCGCTCTGGTGCAGATGTTTACCCCACAGGTGTCAAAATGCAATAAAATTAATTCTACCAGGGTGCTTCAACTCTCTCATGTGCTCAGTGCCTGAGATTAAAGGCTGTCTCCCTCTTTCTTCCATTTTCCTTTTTCTTAGGCTGTTCTTGGCACCTGCTGGGCAGCTGGTTCCCACTTTTAATGGCTACTTTTCAATGTCTGAGTTCTACATTTACTTAATAACATTAATAAGACACATTAAGTGTCTTGCTAATGGATGTGTCTCCCCCATTTGGGAGTGTCAGGGCCACCTTTCCTGGTGCAGGCACTTCCCCAGCTGCTGTGCAGCTGTGTGAGGCAGATGTCACCAGTAAATTACCCTGTTGCTCAGTTACGAGGAGCTGGAAGTGTGTGAATAACTCGTGGATTACTTGGCCTGTTGTATCAAAATGGAAAAAGGAAAGGTTTAGTCATAAACTTGCAATTTCAGTTTCAACTATTTCAATACTTATTTCAATTTTTTGAATAAACCAGCAATCAGAACAGCAGCAGCATTGCCATCCATCAGTGTAAACATTCCCAGCAATGACACAGAGTGGTGTGTGTGTCACAGCTTGTAGCTGTTACGTCAGCTGAGTGCAATGTTTAATGAAATTGTTTATAGCAATTTTAGCAGCCTTTCATTATTTTTTAATTAAGCTGCAAACCAAAAGTAAAGCATAAATTGGATGTTTCATTGGTAGTGTCAGCACCTCTGAAAAAGTCGAAGTACCCCATATGGCCAAATCTGAAATTACAAGAGTAAATTAGGTTTTCTGCTGTCATTTTGTATGTCCTAAAATATCCAGGATTGTCCTGGCTATCAGGACACTATTGAAACTAGTCATTCTGTGAATTCTGTGTGCTAAAAACTATGTGGAACATCAGAGAGAGTGCAAAATCACTCTAGAGAATTACAATTAGGAACCTGGAATGTTGCATAAGTTTTTACATTTGGATGGCAAAGTCTGAAAATTTTGGCTGTAATGCTCTCTTCCCAGTATTTCTTGCTTGGTGCTGTGTTGAATACTACAATGTGTAGTAGTAGCGTTGTGTAGTGTAGTGTTGTTGAACACTATAATGTTTGCACTTTCTGGTGTGTGTGGAGCTGTAATTTTCTGCTGTTAGCACTTAAGTTCTGTGTAACTGCTTCATTCAAATAGTGTTTTATTAAATATGCTTTTGTTAGCACAACTTTCTTTGTTACCCCTGTTGCATGTGGGCCATTTCAGTGCTGATAAAAACACAAATAGCTGTTCCCGTTGATCCCAAAACTGATGTTAAACCTGAGGAAGCAATGTGTAAGAAGCAGCTGAGAGTTAAGAGGTGGAAAGTTACTCATTTCTCCCCCAGTGGAAAAAAAAAGATTATTCAGAAATAAACAGTGTCCATCCCTGGAACTGTTGGGCAAATGAAAAGGAGTAATTTGGGTAGTCAAGAGTGTTTTAAACCAACTTTTATGATGTATTTTGTTACTCAGCTAATGCCATTGACAGAACAATGACGTAGCCGGACAGGGCTATTGCTAAAGATTGCTCTGAGAATGAGCTCAGCAGCTTGTGCTGAATCAGTGCCTATAGCTGGGAATCCCTCAAGCAGGGGAAATAAACTCCATGTTTAGATCAGAAAAGGCAGAACTGACAGCCCAGTGGCTGGCGAGTTGTAGTTCCTAGTGCCATTCTTACTTACAGTTTATAGACTTTTAATTGCATCCAGCAATTTACCTTTGAATACAACAGAAGGTTTCACTTTTTGATTTTTCTTTCCCCCATCTCTCCTGTAACCTGTTTCCAGAAGTTACAAGCAAAAACAGGACTCCCTTTTGGTTACCAATGGCATTTTCAAGGGCTCTAAACAGTGCTGATGGTAAACAGGAATATGGAATAGAAAGACTGTTCTTCCTTTCTGGTAAAATAAATCATCCATTGCTTCCTGCTATGCTAATTCTTCTTGGTCACTTTCTGTAGCAATTAATGCAGAAAAAGGTGTTCAGGTTCCAAAGATATTGCTGGAATGTAAACCTGCCACTTCTGCAATAGCATAGGGAGTTCTCTAACATGTTGTATTCACATGTACTTCAAAGCAGAACAAAAAGCCTTACTGAAAGGAAGGGCAGGGTGAATATATTGAATTACAGAATCATAGATTGGCCTGGGTTGGAAGAGACATTAAAAATCATTCAGTTGCAACCCCCTGCCATGGGCAGGAACATCTTCCACTATCCTAGGTTGCTCAGAGCCCCATCCAACCTGGCCTTGGACACTTCCAGGGATGGAACATCCACAGGTTCTCTGGGCAAGTTGTGCCAGGGCATCACCACCCTCACAGGAAAGAATTCCTTCCTAATATTCCAACTAAATCTACTCTCTGTCAGTGTGAAGCCATTCCCCCATGTCCTGTCATTCCACACTTTTGTAAACAGTCCCTCTCCATCTTTCTTGTGGGCTCCCTTCAGGTCCTGGAAGGCCTCAATTTGACCACCCCATAGCTATTGAATGAAGTCTCCCTAAATGCTCCTGTTAGGGGAACAAAGAGAGGAATTAGGCATGTGTGGAAGTGCTGTTTCTAATTTAGTAACTGTGAGAACTCTCCACCCCTTCTTCCCCACCCCAGCATCTTTGATAAAGAGCACAGACATCTGCAGAAGGTGCAGTGAGACCAGGAACCACCCTCTGTGCTCCCCAGACTTATTCCACTGCAGGTGAATCATTGGGAAATGCAAAGCAAATTAAATCAGTTACCTCTTAGAGAAACTGCTGGTTTCAAAAAGAATTCCACACAAATGCATGTCAGCCCTCCATACCTGATGCAGTGCAAAAGTTTTAATGAAGTTTTGTTTTAAACTATCCCACTTTTAAAAAATTGGATTTTTTTCTTTTCTGCAAACTGCTGCAAGAGAATGACAATCTGGCTTTGTCTTGAAACACTCTGAGTATTTTAGATGATGCTGTCTTGACAGCTCAGCTATTAATAGTGGCATTTTCCCTGCTGTTTAAAAAGGAGACTTGTGCTGAACTGAGCATCAGTCATGTTCGTAATAATTTTTCACTAAGGGTAGATGCAGTCTATGAGCTTACGTAGGAGAATTTACGTTGACAATACCATGAAATGTTAATTAACTTATTTATGGCATGGCATAACACATAGCTGCAAAATAAGATAGCCCTTCTTCAAGAAGAAGTGCAGTAGGGCTGAATTTACAGCATGCCTGAATCATTGTGTGTGAGTGCAAGACCTGACCTTTTCATTCTACTTGGAGATGAGAAAAGACTTTGTTAAACACAAGGAACATGAATAGGTACATGAAACTGTCTTTCTACTGTAAGAAGTCATTAAAAATTCATTAGAAGTTCAGCGTAGGCATCTGAAAACATTTAGTGGGTTTTTGGTCTGTTTTGGGAGCATCTCTTACACCAAATATTGCTGTTTCCTTCCATTTAGCAGCAA